CCTGGTATCTAACCTAAATCTACCCTGCTCTTGTTAAAAACCATTGCCCCTCATCCTGTCGCTACACAGAACACTAAGTGTGAGGGTGAATTAGTGACTTAATTTGAATATTGCCTGTTTTTCTGGTGATGGTGGTGGAATGAAAGGGAGGCAGTCGATGGAATTGCTTGAGACTCTTAACTCAGAGGCATTAACACCCACTGTGGGAAAGGTGGGGCTTCCTAGATGAGCTCTTACTGCCTTTATGTTGTCTCCTCCACAGCAATGAGCTGCTTTTTTCCTGTGTATTGTATTGCAGGGGCCTCAGCTCTTTAAATTATGGTGGTGACATTGTAGGGGGAAGAGGGATGGAACAGAATCTGGTCAGTGCACGGAGCACACGGTGTCTTTCATGAGTTAGTGAACAGGCACCTGCCCTGAATCGAAAAGTAAGGTGATGCTTGCGGATCCCAAAACACTTTGAACGATGTGGTTTGTGACATCGTACTGAAGCCGCTCCGATGCCTTTGTTCAAGACCTGCTCACCTCTAAGAACTTCAGGTGTGAGCCGGGCCAGCACTGTGTTTCACAGTTAGAAACCCACTTTGGAAAGTGTATTTTCACAGGTCTTTGAGTGGGCTGCTTCCTCTCGCTAAGGGGTACAAAGCACGGCGATGTAGATCTCTTGCTCCCTCAAATCCCTCCCCTAAAAATCAATGTTTGTGCAGTGCCCAAGAAAAATTGCAGTAGAATTTTGAGGAAGGAAGAAAGAAGAGAGGATCTCTGCTGAAATAGGGTCGACTGTAAGTATGTGGGGAGCTGCAGAAGGAGTCGCGGAGAAGATGACTGAGCTCTCAGGAGACAGAATAAGAATTTATTCGTATAAAGAGCCAGAGGGGCTCTGGCTTTAACGAGGAGCTACTGGTTGAACCACCTGCTAACCTATATCGAACTGCTAGGCAGCCTTAAGGCCCTTGAACTTTAGTCCTGCACACATGAGGACTATATAATCCCCACTGGGGATTAGTTACGCGGTTAATGTTGGCACGTAGAAGTGTACCACGTTTTTTAACATGATAAAAATAGCTGTTGTTGTGAAATCTCCACGTGAGAGTATCCTTACATGTGAATTGAGAGACTGTAATGGCAAAATATGTTCGAGTAGTCCCTCTGAAATGTTGAAAAGCTACTGTTAGGTTGTGTTTTCTTCTAATTTGTATTTCTCCTGACTGATTTGCTCTAACTTCTTCTTCTCCTTCAGGCCTTAAGCAGTCACACTGCGTTTACCAAACACAGTGAACAGCTCGGAACTGAGGAAGGAGAAGTGGAAGAGATGGACACCTTAGACCCTCAGACTGGCCTGTTCTACCGCTCGGCCCTGACGCAGCCGCAGGCGCCGAAACAGCAAAAACTGAGTCAGCCCCAGCTGGAACAGACTCAACTGCAAGTGAAAACCCTGCAGTGTTTCCAGACGAAGCAGAAGCAGACCATCCACCTGCAGGCCGAGCAAATCCAGCACAAACTCCCGCAAATGCCCCAGCTTTCCATAAGGCATCAAAAACTAACCCCCCTCCAGCAGCAAGAGCAAGCACAGCCCAAACCAGATGCCCAGCACCCCCCTCACCACATGATGGCCAAAGAAAGGCAACTCCCTACCTTGGTGGCTCAGCCACAGCAAACTGTAGTGCAGGTGCTCGCGGTCAAAACCACGCAGCAGCTGCCCAAGCTGCAACAGGCGCCAACGGCACAAAAAATCTACGTGCAACCCCAACCCCCCCAGAGTCAAATGCAGCTCCCTGCCTCTTCTGCAGAGAAACAGCCAGCGAGCCAGGTAACGGAATATTGATAGCATGCAAACAAAACAAAAAAAAATAACACGGCGCTGTTGAAGGAGAGAGAGAGAGGAAAAAAAAAAATTGTAATTGAGATCGCCAGCGCTGTCGCTGTAGCAGTGTTGTGTCCTGGCAAGAGAGAACTCCTCATTCCGCTGGTTATTAATTGCCCCATCGGAAGGTTGACACTAGAAAAGAGAAGCACATGTTATAGGGGGGAAAAAAAAAATAATCCGTAGAGCTCACAGACGTGTTTTGTTGGACAGCTTTGATGAATTTCTGCCACCACTGGTGCATGGAATTTGTCCCTAATTACCCTCTTTTATTTTTTAGATATGAGACATTATTAATTTCCGTTCCCGTAGCACTTTTTTTTATTTCTGTGGAAATAAAGATGAATACACTGCAGTCTCCTAAGGCTCTCCATTGTACGTCTGCCTCTGTAGTTTACACCTGCCTGAAGTTACGTGGCTTTCATGTGCAGAAGGAGTTTTGATTTTTTTTTTTCCCTTGGGAGGGGAAAACGTAAAGACTGAGGAACATGGAGAAAAAAAAATAATATTTTAATTAACTCCAGAAAAGTACAATTTTTTTTTCTTTTTTTTTTTTAGCCTTTTCAGAAAAACAGGAGAGTTTAGCAAACATCATCTGGGGATGTAAATCCCAAAGGAAAATGAGGCTGCTGTGGTATTATACTGCTACAATCCATACCCAGCAGCTGAAAAAGCTGCTTTTCCCCAGGCTTCAATTAACTGTTGCCGTATCATTGCTAATTCCTTTGTTAAAACACTTGAGTTTTCAACCGTCTTTCTAATAGCGAGTCTGTTGGTTTGTGCCGTACTGTCCTTGGAAATACTGATTAGAGTTTCAATAAAAAAAAGAAAATAATTAAGAATAAAAGAAAGAAAAGAATAGTAATAATAATAATTAAAAAAAAAAAAAAGGTCTAGCTGTAACGTGCACAACCAAAATTTGATTTTCAGGTGCAGCATCCAATTATAACGCAAGGATCCACTGTCACAAAGATAACTTTTGAGGGGCATCAGCCTCCTCCCGTTCCAAAGGTAGCAGAGGGCAGC